GGGGCAGTGGAAATTCCATTGCAATTGTCGCTGGCATTCAGATGGAACTGCGCCCCATGCACAACAGCGAGCTGTGGAGCCGCATTTCAGATAGCCATGCTCCACACCCACACACACACACACCCCCACACACACACGCACACACAAACAGCTGCAGCTGCACTCCTGGGAATGTATCATGTAGCCATTGCACGGATGTATGAGTTACGGCTATGGCTACAGCTATGGCTACGGCTATGACTACGGCTATGGCTACAGCTATGGCTACGTGAAATATTTGTGTAATCGCTGCCATCAATATGTGTGTTTACAGCGCGATTTTAATTGCATTTTGTCTGTGTAAAGACTCGCAGCATTTCCGATACGCTTTTTTTTTCTTTATCCCCATTCGATTCCCATTTTTGTTTTCGCAATTTTATTTTACTTGTGTATGTCATTACACAACATTTGCAGGCGGAAAATGAAAATGAAACGAGCAAAAGTGCCCTGAAAGGGAGTGCACGCCTAAGAGATACCCTGAGCTACGTGCAATCATTCTTAAGATTCTTTTATAATATAGAGTACAAATGACTCATGTACACACAGACACACACACACATATAAGCTGTTCTCTATTTACTATACCATTCTTAGGCCTTCACTAAGATAACTAAAATGAGTTTAACAAAGTCAAAAACTGTGTAAAAAATAAATTTGAACTACGCTTAAAATGAACTGAGATTAAGGATTTTTATCGATAGTTCCTTAACGGGAGAAGTTCCGGAAAAAAGGTAGACTCGTACACCGTACGGTAGGATATATAAAATATATATATATATATATATATATAAACCAGAAGATAGGGGCAAGTACGGGAAAAAAACGAACGTACGGACAAGTGTATGAAGAGGCGGATGGACTGGAAAAAGAACAGACGGACGAACGGCTAAAAGGAAAGAGGGACGGACGGGTAAAAGAAGAGACGACGGGAGGAGCGGAGGAACAAACGGACAGACGGTAAAAATAATAGACGGACGGACAATCAGACGACTAGACGAACAGACAGACGGACGGACAGACGGCGAGAGAACAAACGGACGCACGAACCGACGCACAGGTGGACGGACGGACGAGCGGAGCAACAGAGGGACGGACAGGCAAAAGAAGAGATAGACGTTCGCGTGGACGCACGGGCGTACAGCTACAAGAACAGAAGAACGAACAAATGTACAAAAACACGGACGAACAGACACACAGACGTAGCTACGCCGCCTCAGCACCAGCCATGCCTTCCTCTGCCTGTTACATAAATGGTCACAAAATCAGTATACCCCGCGCCGCCACTTTCAATAAGCATTGGGCACAAAAAAACCCAAACGGTAGAGTAAACACTTGAAGCCATGCGTAAGCTGCAGACAAACAGAATCGCAACTGAAGTCGACTCGAGTACATCCGAGTATTTATTGAGCAAAGATGCGTGAAAGAGACAGCAATCGAAGCTATGAAATGACAGCTGCACAGGTGTGCACTGAGCCCGATTGAGACTTGAGCTGAAGCCAGCTTGGCATTGGCAATCACATGGCTAATGCCGAATGTTGGCGTCGAACTAATGACCATGTTGTTGTCCTATGGCTGGCCAAAAGCTGCTGTTGTCGCAGTCATGCATGGACTATCGCGCGCTCTCTCTCTCTCTCTCTAGTTCACACTCTGCCTGCAGGTCTCTTCATTCTCTCTCTCTCTCAGTCAGTTTATTTGCTCAACAATTTTAAAATCAATTAAACGTACTAATTCGCCAGCCTGTATAACACGGCCTGAGGCAAACACCTGTGGACCATGACAAACACACACACACACACACACATGCATACACTATAACTGTAGATGTAACACGCACAATCATCCACATTCGGTAGCCCATTTATTTATAGTAGATTGCGGCCATAGATGACCCCCAACGATGAGCTCCCTTTCGCCTATTCAATTGTTGAACTATCCCAGCCCTTTCCTGACTCTGACCCTGGCCGTGGCCGTGGCCCTGGCCCTGGCGCTGCCTAGAGCCTACCGTAATTTGTATCTATTTTATACAGAGACACAGTTTTGGGATTTGCACTTTATTGCTACGGTCATTTCGATTTTCGAAACCCATACGAAACTAATCAAATTTCTGGCTATTTATTTATTCATTCGTGCGCTGCACAGTGGGTGCAAAACCCACAGAAATGCACATAAATCTATATGTGAGTACACACAGAGAAAGAGAGAGAGAGAGAGAGATAGAGCGACATAGACAACGAATTTTCTTTAATGTAATTCCCCAATTGATTGGCTCAGCCCAGCAGCTCAATGAACAGCATCAGAGCCGTTCAGCCGTAGCCCAGGTGCTGAGCGAGGGTTGAGATGGTCAACAAATTTAGCATATTGCTCATACGACCCGTTGCATCCGCTCATAAATTGAATTCCAGTTTATTTGTTTGGCGAATAAATAAAAGTCGCCATCAGCTGCAGGCAGCAGTTCCAAGTGCTTCAAATGTCAGCTTAAGACTGAAATATCTCAAATATAAATATTCATATACATGACATTTACAGCTAATTGCATTTGAGCTAGAGACATACGGCTTCACTTTAAGCTTAAACCTAAAGAGCTTATCGAATTGCATAGCAAAGCGTAAAATAAATTTCATCAAAATGTTTTCACCAACTGCGCAGATGGGGAGGGGGAGATGCTGATGCTGATGCTGATGCTGATTCTTGTCGAGCCCCGCCCAGGAGGCGCAAGACAAATTGCTTGGACCAGGACATTAAGAACTGGCAACTTGGCAGCAATCTGTCAACACTTTCGAGGGCGTCCGCCAGGTGCACCGAATGCCCTTCAGCTACGTAATTATTTATATTCCCACCCACCCAAACGACTGCCGCACCGCACCGCACCGCCCCGTCCGGCCCCACGACCGCAAAAACGGCAGCAGCGGAGCACGAAATGCGAAAATACTTTAAAAAGCAATTAGTCAACAAAGTTTGTAGGCCCAAACCGGGTGACTTGCATTTTTAAGCAGCCCGCAAAGAGCACGAGTAAAGCAGCTGAGGAAAACGAGAAACGAGAAACGAGAGAATTACAAAAATACTCAACAACAAAATATGACCAGCAGAATCTAATTAAAATAATGATATAGAAACAACAAAACAAAAGCTGCACGACTACAACAAAGAAACAGCAATGCCTGCTGAAGGTACTTCAGCTTAGTGGTCCAAAGCCCTGTGTAATTAGAGCAGTAAGGACATATTGCAAATGGCTTTAATGCGCTTTCATACGAAACTGTTTAGTATTATTTGTATATGAAATATTTTACACATATATTATTTATGTACTCTATATATAACAAGAAAATTAAAACAGAAAAAAATTAAAAATATATATACATAATATATATATGTATATACTTTATGAGCTCTGCCTTCTGTCTATTACATACACCTACAAAAATATTAACAACCGAATTTTAAAAAATATATATATATTGCAAAATTATTTCCAATATTCAATAGGTTGGAAAAAAAAATAATAATAATCCTTAAAAAAAAAAATGAAAAACAACAATTATTACCATGAAAATGTATATTTGTAGATTCTATGCTTAAACTGTTTTTTTTTTTACTTACTATTAAAATTAAATAAATTTTAACAAACGGCAATACAATTAAAAAAAATAAAATTAAAATACAACAGTATTTCAAAAAAAAATATATAATATATAAAATATATAAATTAAGATAAAAAAAATTAATTAAATTAAAAATATCAATGAGGAATCAAATATTGAATAAAAAAAATTGATTTTATATAATTAATTATATATATATTTTTTATTTATTTATTTTTTTTATTTATTTTTTTTAATATTGTAAAATAAAAATGAAATACAAATTAGGGTATAAAATTTATTTATTTTATAATATTCATTTACTTGTTTTATTTACTTCATTTTTTCATTTTTTTGTTATCATTTATTTTTTATTCTTTTATTTAGTTTTGATTTTATGATTGTGTTTTTGTTTTTACCATCTTAGGTCTAACTGACATCTATTCAAGCAAACTATATATATTTATTTATTTATTTATATAACTGTAGAAATTTTAATATAAATAAAATTCATATTTCTAACCAATTTTAGAGCCTTTTGAGTGCGAATCGCAAAACACGACTATAAATACTGCAATTCCACTAGAAGCCACATGTAGAGCTCAACCGTGACAGAAGGAGTTAGAAAGAGACAAATAAAGAAAAAAAGAGAGAGAGAGAGACAACATTGCTCATTAACATAATTAGTGGAGCTGAATTGGCATTATGCAGCTTTGACAGCTGTTTAGATATTCGTGAAAGTTGCAGCAAATTTGATGAAGTCGAGTCAGAGTTGGGGAATGATAAGCGGACAGAGCGGAACTGTGCGCATTATTGTAGACTTTGGACTGAGTTAAATGATAGATAAGTAATTGCTTAGACAGCTTAAGCTTATTAAATATTAATGACGCTTCGCTCTGCCTCACTCTCCCCTTCCTCCTATCCCCCTCTTCTCTATCTCTCTACGCAAGGCTCACTCAAGCCTAGGGGCTTTAAATAAATGGTTCAGCGTCTTTGAAGTGACAAAAGATTTGCGTATTGCTGAAATTATTTATGATACTCATGCGGGAAAGCGAGTTGAGTATATTGATTTTGCTCTATGAATGAATGGAAGAGATGAGAAATCTCGTATATAGCGTCGATTCGCCCACTAAGGGCGTGTATCCTCAGTATTCCCGGGTTGAAATCAATAAGCTCTGATGGCTAAATCTAAGACTATTATGGGCGTGACAAATCGTAAAATGAATTCGAATGAGTATTATGCAGTTGGCAACACCCGACTGCAGTGCTCTTACTTATTTCTAAATGATTGTGGTAAACCCAATGAAAAACGCAATCAAATAATTATGCCAAGTACCAAATAAGATAATCGTGCATTGCTGATGCTGATGCATATCTACTCACAGTATGTGTCAGTTGTTAAACGATCGATGGTATCCTGTTTCAATTTCGAGCTCTTTTTTCCCATGTTGTCGTTGTAGCTGCTCTATCCGGTTCTGGTTGCTGTTGTTGTTGCTCCTTAAATGACGGCGCTGTTACTGCTGAGACTTCACCTTTTGGCAGCACTTGACTACTATTGCTTTTTAGTGCCAAACTTTTAAGTTTCACAACTTGTTTCTTTTTCGTTTTTTTGTTTTTTTTTTTTTTTTTTTGTTTTAACTTTTCCTAAAGTTTTTTAATATGCTCTATAATATTTCGCTAGATAAAAAAAGGGGCACACATACACACACAAACAACTATAACTATAACAAGCATTACAACGGAATTGCACCATTTCACACAAAACTCTATTGATTCGACTTGAAATTATTTTGTTTTCCTTTTTCCTTTTGTGTTTGGTGTTTCGTGTTTTGTTTTTTCCTCTTTATGTTCTAATTTGTGCTATATCGTACTTAGTGCGCTCACGTCATGTGTTCCGTGTGCCGATAGTCAGGTGTTCAGATTAGAAGATAAGCCACGGATACATTGATAAGCTGGCAACTGCGCGCTTGGCCCTCAAATGCACGTCTCTAATACATGTACTACAAATTTAATCGATTATCTAAATATATGCAAAGAATGCGCTTAATATAAACATAGTTAATTATGTTGGGCCCTTGAATATTTACGTAAATAGTTGTATTCCGGGAGCAGAAGATTTCAGATTGCCCACGATGCAACGATCCTATTATCCCAAATATGGAAAAGACCTTGATATGAACGGATATATTTTGCAAGGCTGCAACTCATATGAGTGCAAGAGAGCCTTAGACTATTCTCGCTACTTTTTTCTCGATCATTTCCTGAATTCCTGGCTGTTCATTTTTTTCTCTCCCTCTCTCGTCCTGTATCTAAAGCTGTGTGGATCTTTGCATATCTTTCTGTGTTATCCCCATACTCCTGTCTTTCACTTTGCTCTATCATGTTCTCAATCTCCATCTCTTTCTATCTCACTTCTCTCCCTTTGTCACCTTCTCTTACTCTTCCTCTCTCTATCTATGTCTCTCTCTATCTGTCCATTAGACGAATACTATCACTCTCTATCTCTCTTGATCTCTCTCTATCTCCGCCTGTCTGTTTTTATTCTCACTCTCTCTCTCTCTCTTTCTCGCTCTCTCTCTTTGACTCACACCCTCTCTTTCTATTACTTACTCTCTCAGTCTGTCTCTCATTCATTGCGAGCTTTCACTTTTTCTCCCTTATGGTCTCTCTCTCCCTTTCACTCTCTCTCTTTCTCTCTCTTTTTTTTTGTTCTCTCTCTCTTTCTTCCACTTTCTTCCTTTCTATGCCTCTCCTCTATATTTTTTGCGATTGTCTCTTTCTCGTTCTTTTCGATATAACTTATATTTTTATCATAGTCTCTCTCACTCTTTTTCTCTCAAATTATTATATTATATTTTCTTATCTACCTTATATCGATTTCTATTCATCAATTTGGTCTCAATCTTTCTTTTGTGCCTTCTCTATTCTGCCTCACTATGTCTATCTGTCTATCTCTTTCCGCTCTCTCCTTATTCATTCCCTACTCTTTCCTCTATCTGCTCTCCCATATTCCCTCTCTATCTTACTATCACCCTCTTTCTCTCCCTCTCTCTCTCTCTCTCTCTCTCTCTCTCTCTAACTACCTCTATCCTGTTACATATGCCTGATGAATAATTTATATATTATTTTCATTTATGGCAACAAATGCGAATTGCACAAAACGTTGGCTCGATTGACGGGATTTCGTAGATTGATCTGCTGCTAGATGCAACCGTTTGGCATAATGGATTACGCTTTATCCTGTTGACAATTCATTTGTTATGGCTGTACGGCGTAGATGTTGTGCAATTTGCATGAAATCCAACACAAAGCTGACAGTAGACATTTTGATGACTCGGACAAAGACACGATGGCAGTCGGATTGTGGGCGAGACCCTGGCCGTTGCCTGGATGTTCAATTTGGGGTAGACGAGGCGTGTCATGCACCAAAACAAGAAAACAAAAAAAAATACGAAATAATGAAGACGTACACAAAAACATAATAGAACTGAACACACGCCAAATACATCGCACACATTTCACATTTCACATTTCAGGTCAACTCTAGACTCGAACTTTTCATGACAGTTGCCAATGGCAACAGTGACAGCAACAGTGACAGCAACAGCAACAGCAACAGCAACAACAACTAAAAAATGGCCAGAACGGGGAGCTGATGCTAACAAAAGCGCATAAAAAAGAAACTTAACCCTGCGTATGTGGGTAAAGAGTGACCAAGGGTGCTGCTGACTGTTGTCCCTTACTCTCAGCCTCCCTCTCCCTCTCCCTCTCCCTCTCCCTCTCCCTCTCTCTCTCTCTCTTTGTACTGCCTGCTGCCACTGACGCGCATAGCATAAAAATAAGTTGCCTTTGTTTGCCCAGGCAGACAGACACGAGCGACGACAATGACGACGACGACGACGACGGCGACGGCGATGGCTCTGACAATGTCGCTCGCAATGAGGCGCATAAAAATGCAATGAAATAAATGCTGTTAATTTCAGACGTACAGCAACAGCAACAGCAACAACAACAACAACTAGTAGCTGGCAGAGCTCTAGCCGCAGCAAAAAGTGTCAAGTGCGGGCCAACAGCCAAAATGAAAGCCACACACTCCGCCCGCCCACAAAAGTAGGCAATGGTTTTTTTTAAGCATCCCAAGTAGTTCATGCATGCTGCTTAGACGAATCTTCAGGGGCGAAATTCAAATGCATGTATATCTATATCTATATATGTATATATATATATCTATATATGCATATATGTATATATACAGCCAGGCAACAACCTCTTGAACTAAAATCTATCAAGTATCCAACAAGTATCCCCTTGAACTTTGCCTGCGATATTGCTGCAAACTCTTGCCTCTTCAAGCTGCATATTCGGCTTACGCCCTAGCCTTCAAAAATATATATTTAATTAATTTCTACTGGCGTAAGAACACTAAGGAAATACCCTGAGCTAATTATATCGAAATTTGCGACTAAAAGAAATGAAAAAAGAAAAAGAAAGCAAGTAAAAAGTTCTAGTCAAGCAAAAATAGCCAACTAGACAATACCCAGAAGTCAGAGAGGGTCTAATCTGCTTTTTAATATACTAATCAACCTGAATCTGGTTTAGCTTTTTTCGTATACGTATTTTTATGCTACCTTTAGTAGTAATATAATTTAGTTTTGCATGGAACAATAATAATAAATAAATAATATTATTAATAATAAGAATAAGCCCAATGAAGTCTGTAAGTAAACTTATCACGCCTTGGCAACGCCTCTACCAACACCGTCATTTCACTGCTCAAACACCATCTGGCAAATGGAAGCTAAAGTAGCAGCTGACCAGTTAGGCAATCGTGTTTCTTAGATGAGACAAGAATGCACATATAAGTTAAGACTTTCGACGATCTAAGGAGGCTGGAGAGTCAGACATTCAAGGGGAGAACCTAACGAGTAGAACAGATTTAGTTCAGTTTATATTCGGACTAGAGAGAGTTTAGACCTATTGCTCCAAATTATATAAAATACATTATTTCATTGAACACAAAGTTGTTATATATTCACAAGAACCTAACACAGCATCCCCAATCACTAGTACTCTAGTGTGGGAGCGCTTAACTTATATATGGAGAAAATTTGAGCACTTGGCCAATTGGCTAAAACCTTTCCTTCATAACTTCTGCCTGACTTAACGGATTTTAATGAATTTTCTAGCGTCTGATCTACATATTGTATAGAATATTTGTAGATATAGTTTCGCCTGAAACTCTGTCGCATATTGGCTAAATTTGCAGTTGTACTACAATTTTTAGAATAAAAAACAAAAAATCAAAAACAAAAAGAAAGTGAAAAATCTCTAAATACATTCATATAAATAAATATATATTATTCATAAATATATATTCAGAGGCTCTACCCCTAAGTTACTCTAATTCTACAACTCAGATTACCTATTAATAATCTAAACTAAACTTGATCTGCACGTGTTTTCTTAAAGATTCTTAGATCTTTAGATTGGATGACTGACGAGCAGGCAGTCGAATATCGTAAGATGACTCAGCTAATCACCCTGTTCACGAGTATATATACTTTATGCTTTCTGCCACGCCTCCTTCAATCTGTTACAGAGCACCAATATACCCTGCACCCTGCTCATTCACAAAGTTCTCAGGCCATTCGAGCGCATAGTTCGGCGTTATCGCCTCGTTAAAAGTAACTAAATAGTTGTACTTGGCTATTTTTGTACATGAAAATACTTTTCAACTATTTGCTGTTTCTTTTCTTATTTTATTTTCATTTTATTTTTATTTTATTTTATTTTTGTTGCTTGCAGATATTATCAGGCTAAACTTTAGCTGGCTGTGTTATGGAAAACAAAGACATTAAATATTATTCGATCCATGGCAGTTGTTTGCCTTGGCTATTATTTTAAAAGTCGTTTTTGTCCTCGTTTGTTTACGAAATTGACAGAAACACACACACACAATAGCGATAACACCTGACTTATATATATATATATACAGAGCGCCTCTTGTTTGTTTTTTCTCTTGTTTTTATACTACATATACTATTGGCATTTTCTAACTAACCACGACTCATTCTCTGCATGTGCATAAGCATGCATAACTATGTATGTGTGTGTGCATGTGTGTGTATGAGCGTTATCTTGTCAGCTGCCTGTGCCTGTGTGTGTGTGTGTGTGTATTTGTGCATTCGTGTGTAATGCCTTGGGAAAAGCTTTCTCAGTATTCCGCTTTGCAGAATTGTTCACACTAAAAATATTTTTACGTTTATTTCGTTCACAGCTGGCTGCTAATGCAGTGCCAGACAGAGATGCAGGTAGCTCACGCATACACGCATACATGCATGCACATATACGCCTTTACCATTGCCACGCCCACCTACCCAAATTCGGTGGCTTTAGCTGACTTGTAGGTGTAAGTCGACGCTTTTTATCTGAATGAATGTCGTCCCAGCTATGTGAGTGTGAGTGTGTGTGTCTGTGTGTGTGTGTGTGTCTCTGTGTGTGTGAGTGTGTATATATATATTGCTGCAGCATTTATTTCTCTTGCTTGTTGCAATTTTATTGCTGCATTTGTATGTTCATCTTTTACTTTGCTTTCGGCTGAGCCTAAATAAAAACGAAACGCCTGAACGTATGCAACGTTTTTTTTCCTTTTTCTATTTTTGGT